TGGGTCTGTCAGTTCAGCAGTGCAAGAGGACCACTCACAGAAAAGACAGTGGATTTCTGTATATCTGGGGAACTCCGTAGGATTGCAGCAGTTTATTAGCCTGTTGATTAGAAAGGGGCAGTCATACCAAAACACTCCAAAGGTTCTGTGTGGTGTGGTGGTTAAAAGCGGTAGTCTCTTAATCTGGGGAACCGGGTTCGTGTCTCCGCTCCTCCACATGCAGCTGCTGGGTGACCTTGGGCTAGTCACACTTCTTTGAAGTCTCTCAGCCTCACTCACCTCACAGAGTGTTTGTTGTGGGGGAGGAAGGGAAAGGAGAATGTTAGCAGCTTTGAGACTCCTTAAAGGGAGTGAAAGGCGGGATATCAAATCCAAACTCTTCTTCTTCTTCTTCTGTGTTTGCACCATCCCCTCATTTGAGCCTGGGCAGGAGAAGAGCACAGCCACAATTTCTCTAGGATCAGTATCTGAAGAAAGGGTCAGAATTTGCTCCTTCCTCCAGTTTCGGTGCCCTGTTGCTTTTCCGCAGGGTGTGGAATGGATTTCACAGCACCGAGCAAATTTAATGGAAATTGTGAAATCTGCGAATGCTGTAGGGGAGGAGGGGCAAAAATGGAAATACTGCTACATTATCTCTCTCTGCTTGCTGATTCACTGGGGACTTCATTTTCAAGTCTGCCAAAGCACTCTGGATTCCAACTGACACCAAAGTTTGATGAGATAATGGCAGTTTCTGCCTTGAATGTTCTCTGGATTCTTTCCACAGCCAGCCTACAGAGCTCTATTAGCAAAGCACGCTTTAAAACGATGCACCTTTGTCATTCGTTTCTTATTTCAAGACAACAACCCGATTTAGATTTCCTGCACAGAACAGAGGTGGAGCTGGGGAGAGGATAACCATTTTCCTGTTTTTCAAGCAAGCAGCAAGGAGCAGCTTACTTGAGAGATTACCTTATTCCAATAGGTCACCGTGGACTGTGGATGCTTTCCTTTTTGATGTTATTTGATGGGGAGCATGGCTTCAAAAAGCTTTGCTCCATCTGTAGCAATTCTGGGGTCTTTAATTGTAGGGACCACAGGAGTGATGCCTCAACACCTTCCACATGCATCATGAAGATTTTGGGTATCACATGGCAGGACAGAATTTCTAACATAGATGTGCCTCACCAAGGCCACATTCCTAGCATGTTCACAGTGATCAGCTTGTTGCTGACTCATCTGAGTCTTACTATTAAAGATTCCTTCCTGGTAAAATCCCTTCTGATCCCTCTTAAAAAGAATAAACACAAGGATCTGATTAACGTTAATATAAAAGTAGTTTACTCACAGATTCATTCAGGTACACAGACATATCGCTGAAGGCATGTTAGGATATCTGATCCTAAGGGGTCCGGTTCCAGTCACCTGCCCCTGCTGGTACCAAGAAGGAGACAAACATACTCCAGGGTGGGATTCACGGAGAAAAAGGCTTTATTGCAAATCTGCGCAGAGGTAGCCAGTGGAATAGTTTCCAAAGACTGGCCCCCCTCTATTGTCTTCCAAGCAGTCTTATACAGTAATTTCAAGCTTGCCCCCAGTTGCTCCCCAATCAACAAGCAGAGATACATTTCATTACCTTATTGGGCTAGCTGAGCCCTCCCCCCCTCCATTGCATTTTGTTTGCTTCTGCGTTAAAAATGTTTGCATTTTGCAGAGCTGAGGTGCGAAGTTAGCTTACCACAAGGCTCACCACACCTGAAGCAGATATGAGCCACTACCGGCCTATCAAGCTGAGTTTCTTTTGCTTCAGCTAAGTATGACTGCAGACAGGAAACCACTGTCTAACCGCAGAGCTAACTTGCAAGCTAGAACAATTGTTTTAGCTGAAGCTGGCTAAAAGCACAATGGAGGTTTTACCTTCCCCCCATCTCTTCACTCCTCTTCCTTCACTCCCTCCTCTTCTTCTTGATCACCGTCAGGTGCATCCAACAGGGATAGGGCGATACGCCCTCAGGTAAGCTATCACACGGGGGCCCATCATGCGAGACATCATTTTCTCCATCATATTCTGCATGCATTGCATCAAGCAGGGAATACAGAAGCAGAGAAGCAGTAAAAGCACCAGGGGGCCCGCAATCATAGTGAGTATCCTCCCCATCCATCCCCCCGGGAATATACCATCCAACCAAGATGTGTCCAGGCCCTCCCAGGTTTGTACAGGGACATGTGCCACCTTTTCAATGTTGGCAGCCAAGTCACGAATGGCCTCACCATGGTCTGAGATATTGAAGCAACATGCCCCGCCCGTAAGGTTGAGGGCTGCACAGAAGCCAAGCCCACCAAGCCCCGGGAGTCCAGGACTCCTCCCACCACATATCAGGCATGATAGGGGCGTGGGGAAGGGCTTGGCTATCAGGAACGTTGGGGGTACTGGCGTTGGGTACCCCTCCCATCCTCATCTTCGGCCGTGCGTAGAGCTATCAGCTTCCCGGAGTGACAGCAGCAGGGCAGTCGTCCGTCGGGCGCCTGGAGATGGTCAGCCGAAGAGGATCTTGCGGGTTAGGAGACACAGTCCAGTCTGAAGATGCTGCCTTCACACGAGTATGGTGGACCCAAGGGCGATGCCAGCAACCTTGACAGCAGTGGGTGTAGAGAGAAGCACAGTGTAGGGACCCTTCCAGCAAGGCTGTAGCGGAGTTTGGGCCCAGTCTTTTACCCACACATCATCGCCCGGCTCGAAGCGGTGTAGGGGCTCGACTAACACACACGGAGTGCGAGCCGGGGTCCACCTGTTGAGAGAAAGAAAAGTGCGGGAGAGTGACTGCACATAATGATCTGTTTCAACATCCTGGACCGGGGTGGGGAAATCATGCGTACATAGGGAACAGGTCTCCCAAACATCAGTTCAAAGGGAGAGAGATGGGTTCGCTTGGATGGGAGACTTCGAACCCGGAGCAGGGCGAGGGGCAACATCGCTACCCAATTGGACCCTGTCTCCTGTGTCAATTTGGACAGTTGATTTTTCAAAGTCCTGTTCATCCTCTCTACTTTTCCAGAACTCTGGGGTCGGTATGCACTATGTAACTTCCAATTTATCTGCAAGAGCTTAGCTATCTCCTGCAAAACTTTGTGCACAAAGCTGGACCATTGTCCGACCCTATGGAGCGAGGCAAGCCATAGCGGGGAATGATTTCCCGGAGCAGACACCTAGCAACTTCAGATGACCGCTCAGTCTTGGTGGGCCAGGCCTCCACCCACCCTGTATAAGTGCACACAGCCACAAGGAGGTAACGATATAGGCCACAACGGGGCAGCTCGGTAAAGTCCACAACCAAATCTTCCATGGGTGCTGTGCCACAATGTTGAATTCCTAGTTTCTGGCAAAGGACCCCTTTCGCTGTTCCTTGGTCCTCATCCACATAGAGGGTAAATGGCTTCTCTGGGTTTGGGATTCCCAGTGCTGGGGCCTGTTGTAGGGCCGTCTTGAGGCCTTGGAAGGCTTGTTGCTGCTCAGGGCCCCAGATAAAGGGATCCTTCTCTGTTCCTCTAGTAGACTCATGCAGCGGCCGTGCAATTTCGCTGTAGTTGGGAATCCAAATTCTGCAAAACCCGCAGATCCCAAGAAACCGCGGAGCTCCTTCCGGTTTCGTGGCTCTGGGATCCGAGTGATTGCCTGCTTGCGTTCATCCCTTAAGGTCCGTCGCTGGTGAGAGATGTCAAAGCCAAGATACTTGACAGTTGTCTTACAAATTTGAGCCTTAGACTTGGAGACTCGGTAGCCTGCTTCAGCCAGGTGATTTAAGAGGTCCCGTGTGGCTTCGTAGCACGCGCTTTCGTCCACGCAGGCCACTAAGAGATCGTCGAAATACTGCAACACAATCTTACTGGGAGTAGTGGGGAAACTGGCAAGGTCCGATGCTAGAGCTACCCCAAAAAGAGTTGGTGAATTCTTGAAGCCCTGCGGGAGGCGCGTCCAAGTGTATTGAGTTTTAGTGCCTGTGACTGGGTCAATCCATTGGAAAGCGAATAAGTGCTGGCTCCCCTCCGCTAGGCGGCAGCAAAAGAACGCGTCTTTCAAGTCGAGTACAGAGAAGTATTTCGCATCAGGGGGGATTAAACTCAGCAGAGTGTAAGGGTTGGGGACGTTGGGGTGGAGGGTTTCCACAGCTGAATTCACCAGCCTCAGATCTTGGACCGGACGGTAGCCACCTCCCTCTTTCTTTACTGGAAGCAAGGGAGTGTTCCACTGGGATTGACAGGGCTTCAAGATGCCATGTTGTAGGAGCCTATGCAGGTGAGTCCACACTCCTTCTGCTGCCGCTCGAGGGATGGGGTACTGGTTCACAGCCACCGGATTCACGAAGGGCTTCGTCCTTACAATTATTGGGGGTATATTTTTAGCCATGCCAGGAGGGTTGCCTTCAGCCCATACTTCAGGATTTACTTGTTCTAAGAGGCTGGTTGGAATGGGCCCCTCCTCTTCTTTTATCATCATGAGGCGCCAATACTCCCTCAGGGGTGCTTCCACAACCAATTCTCCAGGTGGCATTGTGGACATGGTGGCCTCTCCGGATGGTTTAAAAGTGATCTGGGCTTGTAATTTGGACAACAAGTCTCTTCCCAGCAATGGAATAGGGCATTCAGGAACATACAGAAAATTATGCTGCACCACTTGGCCTCCTAATTTGCAGGTGACCGGTTGTAGAAATGGTGCCTGCTGGGACTTTCCAGTGGCTCCCACTATATTAATGAATTCTGTAGTTAGTTTTGCAACGGGGTTGGGACGACCGAGTAAGCCGCGCCTGTGTCAACCATAAAAGGAATCATGTGGTTCCCTGCTTGCATTTTGACCATGGGCTCACGGGAACCTAAATTAGTTGGGCCCGGTCTGTCCTAATATTCATCCTGGTGTTGCTGCAGGCTCATGGCTTCAGCCTGTCCTCGGTTCCCAGGCGGGTACCAAAGGCCTCCTCTTCCTCTTCCTCGTCCCCTGGAGGGTCCCCCAGGCGCAGCCCAGGGTCTTAAGTCAGTGCCATCTCCCATGGGGATGGTGCCAGGAATCCGGCCTCCCCTGCCTCCAGTTCTTCCCTGAGGGCATTCGTTCTTCCAGTGGCCCTCTTGGCGGCAGATGGCGCACTGGTTGCGTCCCAGGCGGCCGCGCCCTCCCCCCGGGCAGGTTCCCCCGTGCCGCTGTTGCTGGCGCGCAGAGCCATGAGTTTCTTAGCCTGGTAATTTTCTTTCTTCTTCTGGGCTACCTCATCTCTCTGGTTATACGTGGTTTGTGCCACCTCTAACATCCACTCCAGCCCATGTCCGCGAAACCCGTCGCGTTTTGGAATTTTTCTGCGAATATCGGGAGTGGCTTGGGCCACAAAGGCTGCCTTAACAACCGGAGCATTGGCAGGATCGTCTGGGTCCAGAGGGGTAAACTGCCGGTAGGCTTCCTTCAGACGCTCCAAATAAACCCCTGGTGACTCATCTGATTTCTGGACCACCTCAGCCACTTTAGCCAAGTTAGTAGGCTTCCTAGCTGCCCTCCTCATTCCTGCCAGTACATGGTTCCTGTATGTTGCCAGGGCAGTCCGAGCATTCTGATCCTGATAGTCCCAATTAGGAGTGGCTCGGGGGTAGGCATCATTTATTTGGTTATCATTTAATTGTAACTGCCTCAGATGCGCCCTTGCCTCACTATGGACCCTCCGGACTTCTTCCGTTGTTAACAGAGAGTCCAAAAGATATTGAACATCATCATAGGTAGGATCCTAAGTCTTAAAGATCCCTTCAAAAAGTTTGATGATTTTGGCTGGGTTCTCCTCAAAGGAAGGGTTCTGATTGCGCCAATTGCAAATATCAGCAGTTGAAAAAGGCACATGTTGGATTGTGTAGGTGCGCGGTGCTGCTGCCCCATTCTCCCCTGGCGGTCCTGGGGGGTCATAAACTACCCGGAGGGGCATCAAGGCTGTAGCCTGATCTTTCTTCTCTCTCTCTCTCTCATGGTGGGTGGCGGCTCTACGTGCTGCCTCCAGCCACCTCTTTTGTTTCTTTTTCCAGTGCCCATCCTCACAACGTGCCACTTCTAAGAGGTGGGGACTAACATCCACTTGGTCTTTATAGGGGTCTACATAGTCCTTTATCCATTTGTCTTGCTTCTTACTCCACTTCTCCCCCTTCTGTACCTTCTTTTCCAACATCTTTAACAGTGTCTCCTCATCCCCCTCATCATCATCACTTTCATCCTCCTTAGCTGTCTCTGATTTGGTGGGGTCTTTATCCTCAGGGCTTGGGTTGATAGGGCTGCCACCAACTGGGTTGGGGGGATTATTCTGGAGGTTATTCTGCAGGGGTGGGCCATTCTGTGGTACTGCCGGTATTGGGGGTCTATAAGGAGGTGGTCTCACAGCTAATTCCTCTTCTGTGTCCTGAACCACAAGAGGTAATTTCTGCTGCCGGACAGCACAGATCCTTGCCTTTGCTGGAGCAGTTCGGCAAGCCTGCAGCCAAGGGGGGTTTTTATCCACATTGGTTTTCCACGTGGAGATATAGGGAATTTGATCTGGATGGTCTTCAATTATTCTCTGCAGCAAGGGATTGATCAACCGCCCCTCAAAACTGCCTTGGGACGGCCAGGCAGTGCCCTGCGTCGGCCAGTCCACTTCACAAAGGGTCCTAAGCCTCTCCTTCTTCAATTTGAACCCCCAGTCGTCATTTTTCGTGGCCAATTTCCAGTTGTTCAGGAAGCATTCCAAAGGGGTACATTTACTGTTTCCTGAACCCATGTTTACCAGAATACTCCGCTCCTAGCCAAAATCAACACCTTGCCCACTTCACACACTACAGCCTGTGGCTTAGACGAGTACAGCCCTAGACACGCTTGGCCACGGAGACGCTAAGCCCCGACCTCTCACACATTCATCCTTTCACTGGAGTATTTGGTCATACAACACACAGTTCACCTCCACACCCTCACAGTCCACCTCCACCCTTTTCCCTTTCCACAGACTGGCAAAGGGACCCCCTCTTTTACCCTTTTCCTTTCCCACACACTGGCAGTAGGACCTCACTGTCCCAGCCAAGCCTTCCTGGGGGCACTTAATTGCCACACTCCAGGTGAGATTGATCAGATCTCCTGCTCTTTTCTTTCCCAAGAGCTTACCTCTATGTCCTGAGACACACCCTGTGTCCTCCCTCGGCCGATCCCTTTTTCTCCCACGACCGGACGTCTCCACTCCAGGAACGGAGTGAGGGAATCCTCCCGCAACTGGCGGGCGCGCGCTGGAACCTCCTACGCCGATCCAAGCTGTTCGTCCAGTCGAGCCTGGCCTTCAAGATCAAACAGCAGGAGAGGTGGGTTTCCCGGCCAACGCACCAGATATGTTAGGATATCTGATCCTAAGGGGTCCGGTTCCAGTCACCTGCCCCTGCTGGTACCAAGAAGGAGACAAACATACTCCAGGGTGGGATTCACGGAGAAAAAGGCTTTATTGCAAATCTGCGCAGAGGTAGCCAGTGGAATAGTTTCCAAAGACTGGCCCCCTCTATTGTCTTCCAAGCAGTCTTATACAGTAATTTCAAGCTTGCCCCCAGTTGCTCCCCAATCAACAAGCAGAGATACATTTCATTACCTTATTGGGCTAGCTGAGCCCTCCCCCCCCTCCATTGCATTTTGTTTGCTTCTGCGTTAAAAATGTTTGCATTTTGCAGAGCTGAGGTGCGAAGTTAGCTTACCACAAGGCTCACCACACCTGAAGCAGATATGAGCCACTACCGGCCTATCAAGCTGAGTTTCTTTTGCTTCAGCTAAGTATGACTGCAGACAGGAAACCACTGTCTAACCGCAGAGCTAACTTGCAAGCTAGAACAATTGTTTTAGCTGAAGCTGGCTAAAAGCACAATGGAGGTTTTACCTTCCCCCCATCTCTTCACTCCTCTTCCTTCAGGCAGGCTTAGGTTACATAACAACTAGAACTGTTCCATAAAGATGATAGTCCCAAGTGACTGCGATTAAGCAGTCACTTCTCCAAACACACAGCAACATACAAAATGGAGAACACACACACTGATCAAAACATGGAGACCGTGTGCTCCTCCATGCTAGTACAACAGAACACACCCTCTTCAAGTCTGTCCCAGCTCAGGAGGTAACAGGAAGTCTTCTCCTGAGTGGTACAAAATATCTTCTAACATGTCCACTGTAGGAATGTTGTACTTGACTGCAGTTTTACATCAGCAGCAGCACAAATGGACACCTTCATCTGCCCCAGTTGCAACAAAACATGTCTCTACAGCCACAGCAGATGCTGCAACCGGCCAACGGTTTGACTTCACCCCCAAAGGCGCATTCCTCCATTGTCTCCTGAGACAGACAGATGCCAACCTCCACTTCAGAGTGCAAAGGAACAGATTTACAAACCCCACACCCAGGCTCTTCAACAATTGGCAGACATGAGGGAATCCGCACCTCAGCAAATCTACCAAAACATGTTTCGAATAAATAAAACAATAGTCTTCGATTTTGCTTTGAGGCAGATGTGATAGGATCTGCTGCTCTTTTGTCCTCACAGCCTGGTTTTGTCCCAGACATGTTTTGTTTGTTTGTTTGTTTGTTTTGCAAGAGTCACTTTCAAGACAGTCATGTGCATTCTGAGTGGGTATCTGCTTCCCCAAATAGGTTGCTAGACATCTCTTGTGTGCCTTGACAGCATTATCATCAGACCCAGCTACTCGTCAGCTTCAATGCAGCCGCACTCTCTTGCTGATTGGCTGGACCGTGTAATAGACAGAGTTGAAGGAGGGGGGTGTATTTCTTGGTAATTTCTGAATAAAAATTAATTTGGGCAAAATAGGGCTGAAGGAAATCTATATCCACTTAAGCGGCTCTCTGTGTAGATTCCATAGATTGATTGCCTTCATGTTTACCTTTCTTCTTTCTTTGATGCCTGTGTTTAAAAACCTAAAACGACCTGTCCAAACAGATTAGGTTTAATTGGTTTGAAGCTAGTCTCTTTCTAGGCCATGCTGTGCTCTGCGTGTATCAGCAGAGTTCAATTAAGGAGTTTGGATTTAGGATGCCGAAAAAAACAGTCCCTTTATTTCATGGGATATTTCTGGCTTCATGTTTGGTCCTCTTCTCCGTAAAAACAGACACGTATGGTTAGAGATAGACAATTACGCCATTTTTTTGTTTCTCTCTGTTTCTCATTTTTTCCACATTTTCACATCAGTCTGGATTTTTTTTCTAAACTTCTCATGAAAACCCACCAGCATTTTAGGGCAATTTTCTCCTTAAATACACGCTTGTATTAAGTTTGCTTAATAGACATATTTCCGCAAGGCAATTTCCCCTAATATAATGCATGTTGGTATGCTATTTTCACATATGTGCGCACTCATGCACACACACAATAATATACACTCTACCCATGTATACACATTCCTTGGCTAGAGAACTGCAAACCTGCAAAGTTCAGAGAAGTTCAAATTTCAAAGGACAGCTGTATTTTGGTTCACATGTTATTCTGGAAAGTTCAAATTCTGTAAATACACCATTAAATGCAAACCAATCTGAATTTCTTTCCCATCCCTACATGCAGTTTTGGCAATGCATTTCTGAATCACTCTTACACCTTGTTCCACAACTAACTGTGAAATGTACATCATGTGCCTTCTTTAGAACCAGTGCAGGTTTAATTATCCTTGCACACTATGTCCATGCACTCAGCTTAACGGCACATCAGCTTGCACATCCAGACGCTGCTTTTCTTTTCTGGTCCATGCTCTAAAACAGCGGTTCTCAACCTGTGGGTCCCCAGATGTTGTTGGACTACAACTCCCATCATCCCAGAGCTCTGGCCTTGCTAGCTAGGCATGATGGGAGTTGTAGTCCAACAACATCTGGGGACCCACAGGTTGAGAAAGGCTGCTCTAAAACCTGTTGTCTGTTCAGGAAACATCTCAACAACAGGGAGATCTGCAACCAAATGCATTCAAACTATCTCCCAGCACCCCAACAATCAGCCTGCATTCCACGGTCACTGAGCACGCTCAGTCCTCCTTGGACTATTTGGGGACATTTCCTCCCCTGCAACATTTTGCAAATGTGTTTTTTCTCTTTCCACAAGCCGCTGGCTTCCCCACAGACTACTAAAACTTCCCTCTTGTGCATGGCAAAATAATGGGTAGCTTGGTACGCAAAGCCTGAACATGAGAAATAGAGGGAATCATGTGGCTTTTTCATTGGGTCAACAAATCATGACTAACTTGGAGCTTGGCTGGTTTGAATATAGGGCACGAATCTAAAATAAATCCTTCCTTTCCTTTGGAATGGATAAAGTTGGATTTAATATCATCTCTCTTTCTCTCCTTCTGCCTCTCCTTACCCACCCCTCTCTCTGAGGGGGAAAAAAGCCTGGATGTCTCTGAGCTTGATTAAGGCCATTTAGTGGAGATTTTCTGGGAAGCACTGCAGCCTGTTTGCAGTATTAACCTCTTAGATCACAGCAAGAGGCCTTTGAAGTTCACTGAAGGCTTGAGGGACAATCTCTGGCGACATAGCTGCCACACCACACTCATTCCCAAGGTGGGAGGCTCCTTGTAGCCTGCCAGATTTATTAATATAAATTACCATGGACTGTGGATAAGTAGGTTGTTCAGTGCCATGAAAGAAGCTTTAAAGGACTGTATGTGTTTCACAATGAAAGATGAAGAAGGGGGGAAAGGAAAGTTAGCAGACAGAATGCAGCGGCTTGGCTTGGTATATTACTTTTTACCCTGGTTTTCTGACTGCAGGCATAGAAATCAGCTTGCAAGATTATATGTACTAAGGTGCAAATAGCACAGTCAGGAAGGGAATGGCTGTGCTCAGTGGTGCCCCATTTACATTGTGCACAGGAGCTCTGAGCTGTCCTGTATCCCCTGGCGGCAAGTCCTGCGGGCATATGCAGTATGTCAAGTCCAAAGTTCAACAGTCAGTGAGATGATATATAATGGAATGAAAAAATTGCTTAAAATAACTTTTGTGAAGAAACCAGAAGCCTTTTTATTAGGAATTACAGGTACTGACATACCAAAAGAGCAGAAAAGACTCTTTATGTATGGAACAACAACCGCCCGGATGTTATTAGCCCAGAGTTGGAGAGAAGACAAAGTCCCTACAGGAGAAGAATGGCAAACCAAGCTGATGGACTATGCCAAGATGGTAACACTGACTGGAAAACTCAGAAGCCAAGAGGATAAAAACTTTATAAAAGAATGGGAAAGATGTATAAGTTACTTAAAGGTAAAAGCAAAGGGACCCCTGACCATTAGGTCCAGTCGTGACTGACTCTGGGGTTGCGGCGCTCATCTCGCTTTATTGGCTGAGAGAGCCGGTGTACAGCTTCCAGGTCATGTGGCCAGCATGACTAAGCTGCTTCTGGCGAACCAGAGCAGTGCACGGAAACGCCGTTTGCCTTCCCACTGGAGTGGTACCTATTTATCTACTTGCACTTTGACGTGCTTTCAAACTGCTAGATTGGCAGGAGCAAGGACCGAGCAATGGGAGCTCACCCCATCGCGGGGATTCGAATCGCCGACCTTCCAATCGGCAAGTCCTAGGTTCTGTGGTTTTACCCACAGTGCCACCTGCATCCCATAAGTTACTTAGGAGACCACTGTAAGCAGATGGAAACAAGAGCAGGATTTTGATTCACTTGTAGCGTAAAAATGACTATGGACAATATGGTTTGATATAAATATTGGAGCATGGGTTAATATGCAGGTGTAGATGTTTAAAATGAGACCCCATGGAGGGGATGGGGGGAAGTCTCGAGATTCAGAGAATCTCTTTACAGTCGTACCTTGGAAATCAAATGAAATCCGTTCCGGAAATCCATTCGACTTCCAAAACGTTCAAAAACCCAAATGCGGCTTCTGATTGGCTGCAGGAGCAACTGGAAGCTGTGGAAGCTCCGGCGGACATTTGGTTTCCAAAAATAGTTCGCAAACCATAACAGTCACTTCCAGGTTTGTGGCATTTGGGAGCCAAAGCGTTCAAGAACCAATCTGTTTGAAAACCAAGGTACGACTGTATACAGATATGTTTTTACTAGTTTGTGTTCATTTGTACATTGCATTTGTAAAACCAATAAAAATGATTTTATAAAATAAAACAAGGTTCAACAGTCAAGAAACATGGTCCGAGAGTCACTCCGCAAGAGCAAAGTCCAAAGTCCATTGGTCAGGAAACACAGGCCAGGGTCAGAAAGCACAGTCCCATAGAAGTCCTGGAACATCAACACGGGCAGCTGAGCAGACAAAGCACCTCAGCTCTGCTTCCCTTTTATACTTTGCATGGTTATTGCAGCATCTGGGCTTGGTGAGGCACCTGCTCTGAGCCTATTCCAGCTGAAGAATCACACATTTCCTCCCCGATCCAATGAGCCCCACTTGGGCTGTGGGCCCTTGCCTGCCTCAGCCTCCCAGAACGCACCTCCTGCTGCTTGCTCCCTATGCCTCAGAGCCTGCCTTGTTAATGGAGATGGGAGCCTCTCTGGCTCTGATGAGAGGTCCTGCTCTTTTGGTCTCTACACACTGACCCCCATCCCTTCACTGTCCTGTGTGTACTTTCTGCAACCCCAACCTCTCCTTTCCAGCTTGTCCCAGTGGGTGCCAGCCATCGCAGCACCCCTCGCCAAGGTCCTCTTCCTCCTCCCCAGTATCCTGCCAGTTCATGACACTAGGTTCAATGCTTGGCAACTCTGCCAGTCATTGTAGACCAGTAGTTCCCAAACTCTACACACACAAACACTGAACCACTTTGAATTGTTTTTTGAAGATCTTGGCAAACCATTGTTTTTCTGCCTGCGGTTTAGCAATTTTAATCCATTGTGCTAGGTGTTTAAGTTGCCACTGTGGACCACCTGCGGGCCACTGTTGGTCTACAGATCATACTTTGGTGACCACTGGTGTAGACAATGCTGAGCTAGATGGAGCAATGATCTGACTCAGTATAGCAAGGGTGAGGAAACTTTTGGGCCTGGTGAGTTAGATCCCCACCTGGCAACTGTTAGCTAGGTTTGATAGGAGAGCATGGCAACTGTTAGCCTCCTGATGTCATAATGGCATCAGATGATGGACAGTTGGCTTGTCCTACCTCCTTGTGGGATTCTTTGTGCAGTGCTTTCAAGTGCCTGACAGCAAGCTGGTTGTCAGGAGCTTAAGAACCACAGCACAAGAGGCTTGGCCAACCCTGAGTGCCACATTTGGGAAATGCCAAGCAAAGGGCTTGCAAAGCACTGCTCAAAGTGCTTTAAATGGACCATCGGCTGGGTGAGGACTGGAGGGCCTCCTCCAGGGCCTCCTCCAGGGCCTTTTCTAACTGGCCCAGGGGGCGTGGCCCAGGCCCTCTTTCCCAGTTATAAAGGGACTCCTGTTGCGGTGAGGCCTTGGACCATCGGCTGTGGGGAGGACTGCAGGGCCTGTTCCCTTCCAGGGCCTTTTCCAACTGGCCCAGGCCCTTATATGGAACAAACTTTTGGGGAAGTATGGGAAGTGTTCTGCCATTGCTTTCCTGTTCCAGGTGGTTAATGTGCTTTAAAATGTCCTCAAGCAGTCGGTGGCAATTTAAATTTTTATTTCTTTATTTCCTTTTTTCCTTTGTTGGGGGTGGGTGAGTGGGATGGATATTTGGTTGGGGATTAATTTTAGTATAATTGTTTTGTTCCTTTTGTTGTTGTTGTTGTTTTATTGGTTCTGTATAGTTTGTGTTTTGTTTTTAAGGGGCGGGATCAGGGCTGCCTGGGAGTGGGGCCCCAGCCAACACGATGGCTGGGACAAGTTCCACAGGGGAAGCACTGGGACATCCGATCTCGGTGATCATGGGCAGGAGGCGGAGTTACGCTAAGACCAGACCATGTCATTACCGAGGAGGCAGGTTTAGTCGTTGTTTGAAGACTATCCCTGCCTCCGGGTCTGGCCTTGACCGGATGGATACTGGAATCAACAGGGGAAACCCACATGACCTGAAGGTGTTGCTGTGTAATGCCAGGTCAATGATGAATAAAACCACTGCCATCCACGACCTGATTGTGGATGGAGGATTTGACCTGGCATGTGTGACAGAGACCTGGTTGGAGGAAGCAGATGGGCCTGTCCTTGCCACTGCTTGCCCACCAGGTTTCTCTTACGCACAGCAACCCAGGTCATGTGGGCGGGGAGGGGGGGTTGCAGTGATTTTTAGGAAGTCACTAGCTTGCACCAGGCGTCCTACTGGGAAGATCCAGTTTTCTGAGTGCATGTTCTGGAAGTTGGGCAATAGGGGCAGTACAGGATTCCTTTTGGTGTACCGACCTCCCCGCTGCACCAAGGATTCCCTGTCTGAGCTGCTTCAGGTCGTGGCGGATTTTCTCCTGGAGACACCTAGTTTGGTTGTCCTAGGGGATTTTAACATCCATGCCGACACGACCTTACAAGGGGCTGCTCGGGACTTCGTTGAAAACATGGCCTCCATGGGGCTGTCCCTGAATAAGTTTGGCCCAACTCATAGTCATGGACATGCCTTAGACCTGGTGTTCACCTCTAGTGACATGGGTGATCTGACACTAAGAAAAAGTGAAACAAAAGAAGTGCCATGGTCAGATCACTTCCTGGTGCAACTGGACTTCTCCGCGACCCTTCCCCTCTGCAGGGAGGTGGGACCAATTCGGATGGTCCGCCCCCGCCACTTAATGGATCCAAATGGTTTCCAGAGAGTGGTAGGGGATGTTTTATCCCATGTTGATGGCCTTTCAGCTGATTCCCTGGTGGCCCGCTGGAATGCAGAGTTAACCAGGGCTATCGACTGTCTGGCTCCGAAGCGCCCTCTCCGATTGCATGGAGCCCGGACAGCCCCGTGGTTTTCTTCGGAGCTGAGGGCAATGAAACAATTGCTGAGACGGCTAGAGCGTCGGTGGCAGAAAACTCACTCCGAATCTGACCGGACACAGGTTAGAGCTCAACGTCGAGCCTACCAAGTGGCGATAGCGACAGCGAAGAAGACTTGCTTCACCGCCTCTATTGCATCTGCAGAAAATAGTAGCAGGAGACTTTCAGGTGGTTCGCAATTTAATGGAACCACCTTTACCACCGGGGCCTTGTAAAGACCCCAAGATCTCCTGCAACGATTTTGCAAAGTTTTTTGCAGATAAAATCACTCATATTCGGAAGGAGCTAGATACCACTGTGGGAGCAGGGCTGGGGCGGGAGAGTGCTAGAGCTCTGTCTGGTCAAGTTGCATGGAATCAATTTCAATCCGTTACCCCCCGAGGATGTGGACAGGCTGCTTGGACGCGTGAAACCAACCACCTGTCTCCTTGATCCTTGCCCATCCTGGCTAATAAAAGCAAGCCGGGAAGGGCTGGGCGATGGGCTCTGCGGGGTGGTGAATGCTTCCCTCTGTGAGGGAACATTTTCAGATCTGCTGAAAGAGGCGGTCATTAAACTGCTTCTTAAAAAACCATCTTTAGACCCGGCCAGTATGGCCAACTATCGCCCAGTCTCAAATCTTCCATTCTTGGGCAAGGTGATTGAGCGCGTGGTTGCTGAACAACTCCAGGCACGCCTGGAGGATGCGAACTATTTGGATCCCTTCCAATCGGGATTCAGGCCTCATCATGGGACTGAAACTGCCTTGGTCACGCTGGTTGATGATCTCCGGCGAGCTAGGGACAAAGGTGAGAGTTGTTTCCTAGTTCTGCTGGATCTCTCAGCGGCCTTTGATACAATCGACCATAACATCCTTCTGGACCGTCTAGAGGGGCTGGGAGCTGGGGGCACTGTTATACAGTGGTTTCGCTCCTTCCTCCTGGGCCGTGTTCAGAAAGTGGTGGTGGGGATGCGTGTTCAGACCCCTGGGCCCTCACTTGTGCGGTGCCTCCGGGTTCCGTCCTCTCCCCCCTGCTTGTTAACATCTATATGAAGCTGCTGGGAGAGATCATCAGGGGGTTTGGACTGGGTGTCCATCAATATGCAGATGATACCCAGCTCTACCTCTCTTTCAAATCAGAACCAGTGAAGGTGGTGAAGGTCCTGTGTGAGTGCCTGGAGGCGGTTGGAGGATGGATGGCGGCTAATGGATTGAAGTTGAATCCTGACAAGACAGAAGTACTGTTTTTGGGGGACAGGGGGCGGGCTGGTGTGGAGGACTCCCTGGTCCTGAATAGGGTAACGGTGCCCCTGAAGGACCAGGTGCGCAGCCTGGGAGTCATTTTGGACTCACAGCTGTCCATGGAGGCGCAGGTCAATTCTGTATCCAGGGCAGCTGTCTACCAACTCCACCTGGTACGCAGGCTGAGACCCTACCTGCCCGCGGACTGTCTCACCAGAGTGGTGCATGCTCTAGTTATCTCTTGCTTATACTACTGCAATGCACTCTACGTGGGGCTACCTTTGAAGGTGACTCGGAAACTACAACTAATCCAGAATGCGGCAGCTAGACTGGTGACTGGGGGCGGCCGCTGAGACCACATAACACCGGTCTTGAAAGACCTACATTGGCTCCCAGTACGTTTCCGAGCACAATTCAAAGTGCTGGTGTTGACCTTTAAAGCCCTAAACGGCCTCAGCCCAGAATACCTGAAGGAGCGTCTCCACCCCCATCGTTCTGCCCGGACACTGAGGTCCAGCGCCGAGGGCCTTCTGGCGGTTCTCTCATTGTGAGAAGCAAAGCTACAGGGAACCAGGCAGAGGGCCTTCTCGGTAGTGGCGCCCACCCTGTGGAATGCCCTCCCATCAGATGTCAAAGCGATAAATAACTACCTGACATTCAGAAGGCATCTTAAGGCAGCCCTGTTCAGGGAAGTTTTTAATCTGCGATATTTTAGTGTATTTTTTGTTTCTATGGAAGCCGCCCAGAGTGGCTGGGAAAACCCAGCCAGATGGGCGGGGTACAAATAATAAATTATTATTATTATTATTATTATTATTATTATTATTATTAAATGCCCTGAGCTCAGTGCTTCCCAAGCACTGAGCATGGGATTGGCAAAGCTGCTTTCTGGAGGGATCGGCTGCATGACTAAGTGCCCCATAGCAACCAATAGCAACTGATCCAGCAGGATTGAACTTACTACCCATCAGCTGGTGATTTCCACAGAGAAATCAACCACACAGCTGATCCGACCACATCTCTATCTGCTCAACACCTGATATGACATCAGGTGTAGAGCAGATGGGTGTGGCTTGTGGGTAAGGCTTTGTTCACCAAATTTGGCCCATGGGCCAAATATTTATATGATTCATTTCATAAAATTTATATCCCACTTGATTGTAAAAAGAAACCTCGAAGCAGTTTACAAAAAAAAGACAAAACAATAAAACTATTAATAAGAAAAAGTAGCAAGTAATAATTTAAAACTTGCCCAGCTATGTACTACAAGGCCACCCAGTGAGCTTCATGGCAGAGTGGGGATCTGAACCCAGGTCTCCCAGGTCCGAGTCCAACACTCTAACCACTACACCACATGGGATCTCAATCTGTGATAAACTTTATTACATGTGAACACCTTAGTCCAACACTCTATCCACTACATCCCATTGGCTCGCCTTGGTCCTGAGATGTGACTTCTCCTATAGCTACTGGTTCCTAAGTCCTGGTTCACCCCAATCTGCTGCATGTGGCCCAGGTGCTTCTTACATATCCCAACTAACCTAGCCCCCACCCATGCCAAGGCACAGAGAAAACTAATGCATAGATCAGAATAGTTTTGCTGCGTGTGTCCCCCCCCCCATGCTTTTGGCCACTCTGGTTTGATTCACCTTATTTTGCCTTGCACAAACTTGTCTGGGCAAACTCAGTTCAGTCATAGCTAAAAGCAGTCTGCGCTTCATTCGAATTTGCTTGCATTAGACCCTTAACAGTTTACATATTTTGTTGTCTTGCTATTCATCTCTTTTCATTTAGCTTTTATTTCCTGTAATTATCTGTGCTGGCTTGAAAGCATCTCATCATCAAAGGCAGAGAGACTTCAGACAAACTTAGTTCGGTTTTGGCAAAGATTGGAGACACAGAGGAGAGGGGAATGCTGTCAGTCTTGAGCATTGACTCTCAGGAGGTTCTGTGAGTGAAGTCCATCACAGGCCATCTGGGTGCCCATCTTTGAATGAGTTCTTCCATCTGCATTGGCTTTCCAGCATTACTGGAATTCAAAGTGTCGCTTGAATGGAGAAGTGTCATAGCTCAGTTGTAGAGCTCACATTTTGCTTGCAAAAGGTTCCAGGTTCAATCCTTCACATGTCTGAGTAGGACTGGCAGGGATTGCTATTGGAAAACCTGGAGAGCTGCTTCCATTCACTGTAGACAATATATTGAGCCAAATGGCCCATGGAGTGACTCAGTAGAAGGCATCTCCCTATGTTCCTTTGTTCCACTCTTGAATTTCGTCTAATGGTGGTGTTGTCTAGGTATGCTACACCAAACCAGCATTCCTGCTCCCTCTTTCAAAGCATCTAAAGTCAAGGTGGAAAGAGGAGAAATGTTCACCAGTCAGATTAGGTCCCCCACCCCTGCCATAAAAAGAGGCCCTGGATCTCCAGGGTGATTACCAACTATCTCCTAACAATTGGCTCCCATTGAGGAAACATCAACCAACCATCCTGGGCTATGAGCCTGCATTCCTTAATTTAAAAGGACATGGGGCATCCAGAAGTCGAAACGGTAGAGGTCAGACCCATCAAATCAATGACATCTCAATCATCTATGCGGCCTAGGACCCTCGCACTTACGGGACTGCCTCTCCTGGTATGTCCCGCAGAGGACCCTAAGGTCCATGAATAATAATAGCTTAAAGGTCCTGGGCCAAGGAAGCCAGACTATCCTCCACCAGGGCCAGGGCTTTTTCAGTGATTGCTCCAACCTGGTGGAATGCTCTGTCCCATGAGACCAGGGCCCTGCAGGACTTGATCTCCTTCCACAGGGCCTGTAAGACAGAGTTATTCCACCTGGCCTTCAGTTTGAATTAGCCTGATCCTCTATTCCCTTTTCCCATTCCTCTTCTATGAAAAAACCCTTTCTGGGACCCCACATTTAAATTCTTCCCTGGTCTCCTTGCTGGCCCTAGTAGGACCATCTTGGCCAGTTAGCCCTGCTGATCATTTGATGTCTACTGATTGGGTTTTTTTTTTCCTGTTTTCTTCCCCCCCCCCCAAAAAAAATGACCCCTGAATTTTTGAATTTTATTGATACTAATGCTGCATTTTATGTTGCATTTTATGCTGTTTAATGCTGTTTTAAAAGTTGCATTTTAATCAATGTGTTATATTTGCTGTTAGCTGCCCTGAGCCCGGTTTTTAAACCAGGAAGGGCGGGGTATAAATAAAAAATTATTATTTATTTATTATTATTATCTATGTTGGGAGGCGTAAAGAAAAGCATTGTGCAACAACTGCTCAGCAAATTGCACCCCATCCCATTTATTTATCCCATATATTCAAGAATAGGTCTGGAACGTCAGCCTCGAGAGTTGGCTAGAACATGGTGCTGATAATATCAAGGTTGCAAGTTTGATCCCCATATGAGACATCTGCATATTCCTGCATCGCAGGGGTGGTCTAGATCAGTGTTTCCCAAACTTGGGTCTCCAGCTGTTTTGGACTACAGCACCCATCATCCCTAACTAGCAGGGATGATGGGAATTGTAGTAAAAAAAAAAAAGCTGGAGACCCATGGTTAGGAAACACTGGTCTAGATTATCCTTGGCGTCCCTTCCAACTCTAGAATTTTATGATTCTATGAAATACACACACATCCTTGGCTGGAACCTTCATCCCCACCCCACCCCCCAAAAAACTTGAATTTCTCTCCATGCTTTCGTTCTCTCTCCCTTGTCCCCAAACACTCTCCAGCCTCTCTTCTCCCCCCCCCTCCATTTTTATTGTCTGCGACATGGGAGGAAATTATGAAAACACCCATGTTTTTCTTTCGCCCTGATTTGGAGCTGGTATTTGTTTTCACATTTTGCAATCAATCACAACAGGTTGCTCTGGCTGTGTCACATTACGTTACACGCCCCTGATGAGATGGAGGTAGAGAGCCCTGCATCTGAGTGTTTTTGCAGGTGGGAGGATGGGAGGCAGTCGTACATGAAAGTAGAGCTGCCCCTCCCCCCAGCCTCCTCCCCACAGGCAAGTACCACTTCCAACAGCAGCCTCTCCCTGGAGATAATCAAGATTCTCCTTTCTTTCCTCTCTTTGAAACATTTGACACATCTCTTTGGCAAATGGGGTGCCACGTGTAAGGGGGGAAATGGGAGATGCATTTACAGGGTTTATTGGGCATCTGAGGGAGAAAGTACGACGCTGATGGACTAAAGGGACAGTTTGGTACAAATCATGGCTTTTACACTGTCTTTCTCCTCATGAAATTTGCTCATCTCTCCAGTCACTCCCCACACCCAAAAAAAACCCCTCCATCCTTTTTGTAGTTTTGCAGTTTTGTAGACAAATGAATGCATTCTCTATGGCAAATCTTTGATTTTCAGCAGCCATTCTTGGAAACAGACATGCGTAACATCATCAAATAACTTAAAACAGTGATACGTCTTGCTGAGGAGCATGGCTCCACGCATCCCTCTATACAAGGAAGAGGAATGAGGCTAGTATTATTCTCTCAGCAGGCTTTGTAAATTGTGAGGCGGGGGGGGGGGGGGGCTTTGGTCCATAAGGTTTTTTTTTTAAAAAAAATTGTTAAAGGAAAGAAAGGAAATTTGAGGTGAGAGGCTGAACCAGGAATGCACCTCGTGGTTGCGTGACACATGGTCACATTTTAATTACTGCCACCTGGAGCGCTCTCCGCAGGTATGTTTCCTTCCTGCATAAAACATGGCGCTGGGGGCGATTTCAGGCCCCCCTCCTGCTCTCTCAAAGGGGAAGCAAAGAGTGTTAGACTTCAATCTGAGAGCATATTTATTGTTCAGGGGTTTGTCTCGTGCGTTGCGCTGGGGAGGTGAGATTGTGGGGAGTGAAGAAAGACTGTTCCATTTGTAAACAGATAATGCTCACAGACATATGCTGTATTATATGTAGGGACAATCTTTCATTTCCTTAATAAATGCCCAGCCCCAGCTAGCCTTCAGTGCCAATATCCTTTCAATAAGAGCTTGCCGTATATGGTCAACCGCACGGATACATGATTTATTAGATGCCATGCTGAGGTAAAGTCAAACTCAGCGCAAATGCTCAAGACGTGGTTGTCTGGTTCCACGTGGCCTTTTTCTAAAAGGCCTGAAACAAAAGTGTCCCCACAAGTTTTGGGAACTCTCACTTGAGATACATTTTCCCAATCTTACCCCCCATCAAAAAAAAGACAGAAATTGTTAGTCCATTGTAAGGTGATAAATTTGGGGTGAGTTCTACCACTGATGGAAGAAGTTGGAGGGTTGGTCGGTTTGCTCCTCTCAGCATTTTGCAGCTGCCATTTGTTTTCCAAGAACATATTGTTCTGGAGCATTCTGGGAACAAAATGGTGCAGCCACTTGTTGGCGAAAGATTAGTAAATGAGGGAGGCGACTAACAACCACAGCTGCCCCCAAGCCTCTCAAAAAAATAAAAAAATGCTGCCCCCTAGTTTTGCCCCCAAATCTCATTTCTCTCCACCTGGAGCAACAGAGCGCTTTAATCCACTTTAATTTCATAAACCTAAATTTCCAGTATGCGTTTGAATCCCTCCTGCAAAATACTGTCAGTCTGGAAGGCAACCTAGTGCCAGGCTTTGGGGAAATCAGCTCCCTCCCACAGGACAGCCCAGAATCAGAGAAGTGATAAGAGTTCTTACCAAGCCATTTATTCAATAATTCACAGAGAACGACAAAGGAATGCAGCCTTGCTAAAAATGGAATTACTCCAACTCTTGTGTTCACCTGTCTCTGAGCGGTGACCTTCCTCAAACCACTACTGTAATTCAATACTGCCTTTGTGGGATGTGAAACATAAGAGCAGTCAAGTACAACATTCCTAGAGTGAACATGTTTACAAATGGGGAGGAATGTTTGTCCAGCCAGCAGGTAAACTTCCTGTTTCCTTCTGGGCTGGGACAGACTTCCTCTGCATGTGACTAGAGGTGAGCGTGGCCTCACCTGCACAGGTAACGACAAAAGCACAGGGCAGGGCAGCCATCTCTCTCTCTCTTTGACTACATGCATCAAAGAAGCAACATCTGCTTAGCCTAAGATGTCCTCTCTTCCAGCCAAGAGAGGACAAAGGAACTGTCTCCTTATGAGATAGTTTCCAGGTGTATGTTACTTTTCTAAGCTAAGTCTGCCTTCTGGGATCCAATTGTGAACAGAATGTGAGTAAACTCTTTTTATACTTTTATAGAAGACTGTGTCGTGTCTTATCTTTTCTGAGGGAATAAGGGGGAAATACCAGAGCAGTTATTATAGAGGCTTTAGCGAGCCTGAGCTAACGCATCCGCTGTGAATTTAAAAAGGGGAATGTTACTCTGCTAAATTGTGAACTTGTTTACACAAGTTGGAAAGGCTATAATCAAACAATATATCCTCTCCTGCATCCCTGAACATTCCCACAGCCTTCCTCTTCTCTGGGAAGTTCAGAAGGAGGGGGGCGGTGTCCACCATTCCTCCTCAGTCTCGTCCCCCTCAGTCCAGTTCCTGACATCTATCATGGCTGCCACACTACCAAGATAGAGGACTGCCAGAAAGGGCCATGCTTACCTAGGCTTGTTTCCCCCCCAGAACTCTCTGGGAAGCAGATTACAAACTGCGGATTCCACTGTTCAACAGTGGAACGGTCTCCCTTGGGAGGTTGTGGACTCTCCTTCCTTGGAGGTGTTTAAGCAGAGGCTGGATGGCCATCTGTCATGGATGCTTTAGCTGAGATTCCTGCATTGCAGGGGGTTGGGCTACATGGCTCTGAGGTCCCTTCCAGCTCTCAGATTCTATGAAACTCAGAAAAACAGGATGCAGTGTGAGCTGAGCTGCAGGAGGGTGTGTTGACCCTTCACTTTATTTCAGTCAGATCTACAACACACATTTAAAGCGTTCTTGGTTCACATCTAAAACACATGACTTTCCGCAAAGAATCCTGGGAAGTGTAGTTTGTTAAAAGTGCTGGCAATTGTAGTTGTCGGAGAAGTCATGTTCTGTAGATGTGTGTATTGAATAAGCTGAATGTGTGGGGTGCATTTGCACACTTGGCAGTCGCTTTTTGGAAATTCACTGGGCATAATCCATGAATCCCATTTCTATAAATCTGCCTTCCATA